TCCCCACCCCTCCCCCCCTCTCCGTGCTCTGGCCCCGCCGTCTGGGAGGGCTCCCCAGCTTTCTGCACGGAGGTTTCTGCCGAGGGTCTGGCGTTTCATGGTGCAGGTGGGTGAACCCTCCCTGCCTTCCCGCGCCCTCCATCTGCCGATCGCGTGTGCCCGCGCCTCCCATCACCGCGGGGCGAAGGGACCGCGGCCTCCTCCACGTTCCCGTCCTGCCCCGCGTGGTCTCCGTGGCCCTCAGCGCCCGTCAGCTTCGTTTTTCTGGGCCTTTTTCCTTTATTTTGCGGGCTTTCTGCAGTACCTGACTGGACGCCAGGATCTAGATGTTTGGAAGAAATAAAGGGAAGGCCAGCTGGGGGAGGGCTCTGGTGGACACCGAAATGCAGACCATGAGGACAGCTACGCTTGGGGACACCGTAGCCACAGAGGCTACTTTGGGCCTCCCTTTGAACAATAAATAGGAAATGCCAGCACTGTGCCTCGAGCAACTCAGTTAATTCATGTCCCCTCGGGTGGCAGTGGGGCTGGGGGTGTGGACAGATGACCACAGAGGACTCGTGCTCGGCCCACCTCTGTCCCCACGCCTGGCCTGGAGAGCGGCAGAGGCAGTGCCCTGCCCACCCCGCCGTCCAGGCACCTCCGGCCCTACACCTGCTCCAGGCGGAGCCGGATCCCAGCTCCCCACGCTGTTCGGTGCGCCGTGGGGGAGGCGGGGTGAGCAGGCGCCCGGCGCGGCCTTTGCCCTGCTCGTCCGGTCATCTCTCCCGGCCGCAGCTGCGCATCAGGGTGTCCAGGGGGCATTTGACTTCCCACGAGGCTGGAGTAACGTCCTCCCGCCCCAGGGAGAGGTCGCAGCAAGCAGGGGACACGCCTTGGCCTCAGGAAGACGGTTCCCGGGGCGCCGAGGCCCATGCGGGTCCCGGCAGTGGAGGGGCAGACGCTCCCTCCAGGGCCGAGGCTGGGCCCGGAGCCGACCGGCCACCGACACCGTGTGGCCGGGCCGCAGTCACCCCCCGGGCTGTGTCACAGGAGGTGGGGGTGTGGGGTGAGACGGCGAGGATGTGCGAGAGGACCCCCAGCTCGCGGTGACTGCAGACTGGCCGTCATGGTGAGCCCACGAGGACACGGGGCTGGTGGCCCTGGGCCCGGGCAGAGCGCTCCTGGCATTTCTGTGGATAGCTCTGCGGATTCTTGGAACGGAGCAAGTTCAGAACCAGTGAGGGGCTGGCAGAGGCCCGTGTGTCCGTCACCTGGGTGCTCGGTGGCCCAGCCACGAGGAGCCTGCTTGGCGTCATGAACGTGAGTGTGACGGGCTTCAAACGAGCCCTGTGGGGTACAGCGCAGGAGCAGGGGCCGCGCCAGCCAGTGGCGGGGCCCACGTGCTGAAGGGAGGCGAGACCAGGTGAGGGGACAGGTAGGGCTGGCGGCGGGGACACCTCGAGCGAGAACAATGGAGAAGGAATCACGAGATGACGACTAACTCGGCTCGCTCGGCGACACTGCCCAGCATGGCCGTGTGCCGCTCGCCGGCCACGTGCCGGGGTGCAGCGGGGACCCGCGGTGAATTTTCGAAGCGTCGGGACCAGCGCTGGGAGCGTCACAGGTGCTAATTCTCACGGTGACCCCTTCGAGCAGGGACAGTGAGTGAACAGGCGTGGCCAGGACCACCCGCCCAGTGAGGACATGCGGACACGGCAGGACGCACGCCTGCCCACGCCCTTGGGGCCGGGCGCAGGGGCCGGGTGCCTGGGGGGGGAGAGAGCAGAGCGGGCAGGAGCGTGGCTGTGGGACCCACAACCACTGTGAGGGCGGCGTCCCCCCTTCCCTGGGGACTGTTCGGGCCACCCACGGCTGCCACCTCTCTGACCGCAAACCTTTGTAGACGATGCTGACCAGTGTGCCCCTGACAGGATGCCCCTCGTCAGCCAGGCCCTCCCAACACTCTTCCCGGCTGGACCCCAGCCCGGGGCTCCGTGCCCCTCCGTGCAGCGCCCAGCTCAGCAGGACCCTGCTGGGTTAGTCTGGGGAGAAAGCCCACCCTCCACGCCTGGCCCGAGCCCCCGCCCCACCCTGTACCCACCCCTTAGTGATGTTCTGCCCACCACTCTCCCCAAACCTGCTCCTGGTGGTGAACCCCACTTTCCCGCGCTGTATTCGGAAGTGGGCCTGCTCCACTGACGGACGCATGAACCTCACAGAACCTTCATCACTGTGGACCATTCACCGTGGGGCCCCGGTGACAGCCCCGAGGCGCAAAAATCGGAAGACACACATCTGTCGAAAAAGTATCAGCATCTGCTTTTCAAAGGCAGCTGTAATTCACACTCACACTCCACACACACACACACACACACACACACACACACACACACACACACACACACAACACACACACACTCACACCCCTGCGACCTGAAATCCTGCCGTAACATGTCGGGTGCAGAAGGTGGGTTTGCATTCGCTCTGTGAAGCATTGTTTTCCTCTACACCAATCGCTTCTTCCTCTGAATTAATCTCCCTCCCTCTGCGCTCGGAGCCCCGTGTGCGCGCCTGGCAGGTGAGGCGGGCGCCCCGTGTGCACGGCCGGCACGGACGGTGAGGGCTTCCCAGTCGAAGCTGCCAGCTTTCCAGGTCTCTAATTAGCATCCCCACTCAGGAATGAAAGGAAAGCCCTGGGACGCGGCTGCTTGTGAAAGGGAATCGTCTGATGTCACTGGCAGTCGGTTCAGCCAAAAGGTCTGACACCGAATTAAAGTTAGTCGTTGGCAGTGAAAACACAGAGCTTGGTGGTCAAGTACCGTTCTTGCTGAATTAAGGCGCCTGAGGATAGAAGCCTGGGATTGGCTCTGGTGAGAATATAATTCAAAATTCTGTCAAACAAGCTATGATTATCTACCAACTGAAGCAGACGTGCAGCCATTGAATTTTACAAAATTATAGCGTATAGCAATTTATGCATATACACATACACGCAGAGTTAGAACGAGCAAAGTGTAAAACGGTCGTGACTAGGCTGATGCTGAGTAAGAATCTATGTATCATGGCAATGCACGTCTTCTCTCTTCGTTGTCTGTCGTGACTTTAATTTTAGGGATATCTCATTTCCGTAGGGTCTAGCATGTCCCAAGATGCTATTAATGGCACTTTATTAAAAAAATTTTTTTTGTAATTTTTACTTAAAGTATTACCCAAATGGAGTGTCAAAGAATTTTAGTTTTTGAAGATTTTTCACAAGTACAATGATTCAAAACAGAGCCATAACAGAAAGGCACTGGAACTTATCTGAAAAAAAAAAGAAAGGAAAGGTAAGTTTAGTTGCAAACGTGTAACTAAATAATAAATAAATAAAATAGTACTTTCCAGTTCTCTAATTCTCCTGCCAATAATGATTTTAAAAGCTAAAAAGTAATGGTTCATAATGAACTATTTCAAGATACTGGAGAAAATAAATTGGAAATTAAACTGGAAAAATAGAAATTAAATCAGGAAGGAACTAGAAGGAATTCGACAGGGAGCAGACGAGGTTTTAAAATAACTACGATTCATATGTTCAATGGGGGAAAGGCACTCGGAATGGAAGACGGAGCATTTTAATGGAGAATCGAAATTACGGGAGTCAGACGGACATCCTGGAACAGAAAAACGCAGCATTTAAAATGAGACGTTCATTCAGTGGACTTAAAAATATACTGGACACTGCAGAGGACAGAGCCGGTAAACCTGAAGACACGTGAATAGAGACCACCCAGGATGAAGCGGACACGCACAAGAAAAAGCACGGACCAGACCCCGCGAGACGCAGGACCACGGCGAGCGGTCTGCTGGGGCTCGGATGACAGCGGAACAGCATTCAGGAGTGACAGGGGCCGGGGCGAGCAGAGGGCACCCCGCCGACCTAGAAATCCGCAAGCAGAAATCCTCACAAAGTGAAGGTGCAAAGAACGACACTTTCAGGAAACCAAAATGAGACTTCCTGGCCGGCAGAGCCACTGCGAGGAGGGGGGGCCCTGCCCCTGGAAGTGGGGGCTGCCGGGGCGGGCGGAGGGGCCGCTGTGTGCCGTCCTAGAGGACATCGCCCGTCCAACGCCACAGCTCGGCCCTGCTGGCCAGGCCCACGGACACGGGCGGAGCGAGGGGCTGCGTTGCCGTCCCAGCCGCCTTCGGTCGGCCTGGCGCCAGGCAGCAGACCCCAAGGCTAAATCGGGCTGGGGCCGCGGGGCACAGTGGGGTCCTCGGGGGACGCAGGCGGAGGCCGCCCCAGCTCCCTCCCAGCCGCAGGGCGTCCGGAACCCCAGAGCCCTCCCCGGCCACCACACCCGCACTGTGGGCAGCTTCTGAGAGGAGGAGACAAGAGTACACCCCAACATCCGCAGGGTAGAGGATGGAAAACACCAGATCGAGGCCGCTGGGCAACAGCGGAAGGAACCCGGGCAGCGCGGGTGAGACGACACGCGGCCCGACTCTGCCAGGGTCACCGCAACCCTGGGAAGCGTCATGGGGCCGAAATCGAAGGACCCGACCGCGCTGAGTCGTACGCACCAGCCTCGCGCAAGCTTCAACTCCGAAGCCCGTGGCCGCCTCTGCGCCGCCTGTTCGTGTGGAAACGTGTTTCCACCTGGATAAAGTCACGCTCGACACAAGGACGGAATCGACCCGAGAAGCTCTACAGTCTTACAGGGTCCGAACGTGGCCGGACACGCCAATGAGTCATAATACAATTTATTTGACAAGTTTTATCTTTATAGATATGTTTGCCAAAGAAACGTCCTCTGAAAGCAGGTACAACGATAGTACCTGTGACAACACCTGGCCTAAAATATTTACACATCTAGATGTGGACAACAGAATTAAGTTTCTCATCCCTCTTCTCGTGGCAGAGTCATTCTGGGCACCCGTGATGCCTCCGCGTCGGCAGAGAGAACATCGGCTCCGTTCAACGCGGCGGGCAGTAAGAGACCGCGGAAGCGTCTGCAACCGCAAACCTACCAGCGGCAAGACAAAAATTTGAAAAAGATTAGTTTTCCGAAGAGATAAAAAGATAAAAGCTCTGTTCCGTGAGAAGAGAGGTGTTTAAGCAACAGACTGAGGTCCACTATGTCAATACACACTGAGAATGATGCACTCACGGGTTTAGTGTCCGGGACCGAGGTGAAGTCTGATTTTGCTTTAATGAACACAGACGTGTTGTTTTTAACAAAAATTTAGTTTTGAAACTCATGTATTACCAGAATCGTTTTAGAGATCCAGCAATGGAGTGTAATTATTTTGTTGGGCCCTAAATGTTTTTAAAATTCCTCATCTCCATCATTCTGTGTCACCTTCACTGACCCTATTTGCGGGTGCTCCCGGAAGCTCAGCGGCCAAAGCTCCACTGAAAAGCGGGGTGCTGGCGGTAGTCTTGGCTGAGCCCGTGTGTGTCACCGGTGAGTGCCCGTCTCGGGCACGGCGGCGTGTCTTCGGGGGATCAAGTTGGCTATGAAGTGGGGGTGAGTCGGCTGGAAGGAGAAATCCCCGGGCAGACCTCAGTCAGGGTGCAGGTCCCACCACATCTGTCCCGTGAGCGTTTTCTCACGAGGAAGGGGGGACACGGCCAGGCAAGGTGACGAGGTGTCACAGAGCATTTTCTCACGTGGAAGCGGGGACACGGCCAGGCAAGGTGACGAGGTGTCACAGAGGCAGCCGTGCTTGCAGTGAGAACGCAGTGCCCTGACGACTGTGACCTTGTCTGTCAGCCATCGAGGACACTTCCTCATTGCCGCCTCCAGTCCCCTGCCGCAGGGGACTGACGGAGCAGGTGAGTGAAGATGAGGGGACGCGGGGACGTCGCAGACCACCCAGCCCCCCACGTGGGCGCCTCTGCTACTGGAAAGGCTGCTCGCCCCCCTCGGAAAACCAAGTAGCAGTTGTGGGGTTCGCTGTGCCTTTGCCGACCATCTGGATGAAACGTCGAGACTGAAGTGCCCACGACTCGGACCGCGAGGTCCAGCAGGCCGGACACTGTGCACGTCGTTTCCGTTAAATTTCCACCTGTGACTAAAGAGGCGGGCGGAGCATCTTAGCAAAGTGTCCTGGTCCTGCGCTCACCCCGCTTCTCACGAACGACTCACACTCAGGGAAAAGGAAGACACTGTGGCGTCACTTACTTTTCTCAGGAAGTCACTGGCTGGGATTTATTCTAGGCCGACAGGGCGAGTATCACAAGCAGGTGACGTCAGCTGGTAAGACGAGAGCCACTTCATTTTGGCTGCGGTGAGAAACACCGTGGGTGACAGGCCAGCCCGCAGCAGCGGACGCCCTGCT